ATATATATAAAAATTAGCTGGACGTTGCATTGTGCACCTGTAGTCCCAACTACTTGGGAGGCTGAGGCAGGAAGATTGCTTGAGCCCAGGAGTTTGAGGTTGCTGTGAGCTAGGCTGATGCCACAGCACTCTACTCAGGGCAACGAAGTGAGACTGTCTCAAAAAAAAAAAAAAAAGAGAGAGAGAAATCAAACAGAAATTCTGCAACTGAAAAATGCAATAAATGAAGTAAAAACTTCAGTAGAGGGCAGCAACAGCAAAATCAATAAAACAGAAGAAACAATCTATGAACTCAATGACAGGTTATTTGAAAATATACAGTCAGAGGATTAAAAAAAGAATGAAAAGAAATGAAGAAAGCTTACAGGATTTATGAGACATCAAAAGAGCAAACTTTCAAATTAAAGGAGTTCAAGAAAGACAAGAGAGAAAAAAAAGGGGCAGAAAGTTTATTTAAAGAAATAATAGCAGAGAACTTTCCAAATCTGGGAAAAGATGTAAATAGCCAGGGACAGGAAGGTCAAAGTTTTCTAATCAGATTCAACCCAAACAAGACTACGTCAAGACATATTATAACCAATCTATCTAAAATCAAAGACAAAGAAGGGATCCTGAAAGCCTCAAGAAAAAAGAAGCAAATCACATATAATGGAGTTCCAATAAGGCTAGCAGTGAACTGCTCAGCAGAAACATTACAGGCCAAGAGAGAGTGAGATAATCTATTCAAAGTACTGAAAGAATAAAAACTGTCAAACAAGAATACTTTACCTAACAAAGCTGACCTCAGAAATTAAGAAAAGATAAAGAATTTCTGAGACAAATAAAAGCTGAGAGAGTTCATCATCACCAGATTCTTTTTACAAGAAATGCTAAAGGAAGTTTGTCAAGCTGAAAGAAAACAAAAAATACTAAAGGGAGTTCTTCGAGTTAAAAGATAAGGATGCTAATTAGTAGCACAAAGATATATGAAAGTATAAAACTCATTGGTAAAAGTACATAGTCAAATTCAGAATGTTCTAATACTGTAAGGGTGGTGTGTAAATCACCTATTATCTGTAACATGAAGATTAAACGACAAAGCTATTGAAAATAAAAATAGCTACAATTATTTGTTAAGAGATACACAATATAGAAATGTAAATTGTGACATCAAAACCACAAAATTTGGGTACTGGAGTAAAAGTGCAGTTTTTGTAATGATCAAAATTAGTTGTTATCAGTTCAAAATGGCCCATTACAACTATAAGATGCTTTATGTAAGCCTCATAGTAAGCACAAAGCAAAACCTGTAGTAAACATACAAAAGGAAAAATATAAGGAGTAGAAGCTTACCACTAAAGAGAATCAATTAATTACAAAGGAAATCAGCAAAAAAGGAAGAAAGGAATACAGGATCTACAAAACAACCAGAAAAAAATATTACCAAAATGGCAGTAGTAAGTCCTTACTTATCAATAACTACCTTGAGTATGAATGGATTAAATTCTCCAATCAAAAGACATGGAATGGATAAATGGATTAAAGAAATACTGAACTATATGCTGCCCACAACAGACACACTTCACATTTAAGGACACCCATGACTGAAAATGATGAGATAGAAAAAGATATTCCATGAAAATATAAACACCATAGAGAGAAAGGGTAGTTAAACCAGATAAAATTGACTATAAATCAAAAACTGCAAAATGAGACAAAGAAGGTCATTATATAATGGTAAGTAAATCAATTCATAAAGAAGATATAACAATTATAAATATATATGCACCCAACATCAAAACACCTAACTATATAAAAGCAAGTATTAATAGATCTGAAGAGAGAGATAGACAGCAATGCAATACCAGTAGGAGACTTCAGTTTAGCACTTTCAACAAGTGGACAAAT